CTGGGGCTCAGAGGTCTAACCAGTGTCTCAGTGGTCTAACTGGGGGCTCAGAGGTCTAACTGGGGGCTCAGTGGTCTGACTGGAGGTCTGGTGTGGTGTGCTCTGCTGTGCTCGGAGCTGGCCAGCAGCAGGCAGCACCAGACCTGTTTGCTCTCTCCGTGCGGAAACGCTGCAGCAGGAGCAGCTCGACCCCCTGGGGCTGGTCCTGGTGACTGACAACAAGTCGCCGTCTTGTTAAAAATGGGCAGACAACTTCATAAATGATTCATTTATTTTAGTTATGCTTGTTTTATTTTCCTGCACAATAATTTCATTTCGCTGTTACATCCGAGGATTTAGAAGTAACGGAGGTTACGTAACATCATGCTACTTTTATTGCACGAAAAGCTCAGTTTCCTTTTTTTTACCCCACAAACCTTTTGCTTTTAGAAATATTTTATTCCAAACCTGGCTAATTCAGCAATTACCACTTTCAAAAATGACTGCTAAGAAACACTTGCTGCTTCTAAAAGAATCACGTATATGATTATGGAATTACATTATGCTTGAAATACAGCTGCCACAGCTGATGGCCATTATAATCAGGCCACTACTGCAAATCGGCCGGTTGTCACATTATGGTACAAACGTTTATGATCCTCTTCCTTAATGACCTGTTGAGGACTGTGTCCCCTGGGAGAGACTTCCTGCCACTTCAAGAACAGCGACAGGTTGTGCTGTGACAACCAAGGAGGCCGTTACAATCATTCTTTTGAGGAGCCAACATGGTGAAGGAGCGACTCGCTTACACCGTCAGGATTTTACTCAGAGCCTCATTCCAAACAGGAGAGCCTGCAGACAACTTGCAAATGTCATGTACATCAAAGTTTGTGTGATACATTAACATGGGCATACTGTATCTGTGTGCCACTGCATCCTGAACTTTGGTCTTTTCTTCTCTTTAGCTCCAGTGAAGCTCCTCAGTTCCTTCAATATTCTGAGACATTCTGAGTGGAGAAAATGTTGCAGCAAAACAGTTCACATTCAGGCTGGGCGAAGTCAGCACGGTCTGAAGACGTTTAGACTTCCTAGCATTTAAAAATAATCTGAAAACATGATCAGGGCCCCCAAATCCTTTTTACTATCGATAGGCAAACAAAACGTGTCTCCAGTTTCTGTGCCAAAAGACGCATCTTAATTGAAACGTAAATAAAGGCGATGTCGTACTCAAGTTCATTTGTTTTTGCACCATTGACTGAATGAGCAGATTGAGCGATGGCGTCACACAGAAGGAATGAAAGATGATTAAGGTCCAGCTGCCTATTTCGAACAAGGTCTTTTGAACTGTTGCCACGTCCAGTTTGTAAAACTATTAATTTTTATTTGAATCATTGATACATTCAGTATATAGCTCTATCAAACAAGTCATTCAAAAACACAAAGTAAAACAGATCTTAGTAGCAGATCTGGCTCAGAATTCAGATGGTGGATTACAGCTTTACAGGTGCATAGAGGCAATAGCACTGGGACCGAAAACAGTGACAAGAGCACAGCCTTGATTCTGCACTGATCAGCTGCTGAGTGGACTCGTACAGCAGCAGTGCTGGAGCTCTCCTGGCCTGGAGGGGCTAGGCCCTTCCCTGAGCAACAGCGACATCCCCAGCCTGAGGAACAACCACACCCCAGATCAGGTCATGTGTGCTCCACCCCAGAGCTGATGGTACCCCTCTGTTTTAACGCTGCAGCCATACATTCAATTTCAAACTCTGCACACAAACAGGCACTGAGACTTTAATAAAACCACCTCTTTAAGTTTCTAAGACTGTGATACAGCAGGATTTCAAAATCCTCAGAAGGCATAGAAAAGCTACATCACCAACAGACTACAGCACTCTAATCTTCGCTCATTTATTCTCTGCTGAAACGGACATGGTTTCCATTCACTGGTGTGAATCCCATGAATCAATATCTGTTATTTCTGAAGAGGTTCAGAATTAGGTATGTCTGGCAGAAAAAGAGTGAAAGGATTTACTATGATAAGAAATGCTAAATTAGTAATTTTATAATAGACAAGCCCCCTTGATAATCTGTAATTTCATTATGTGCAGTTCCACTGTGATTACTCACGTTGTACGAACAGATCCCACTGTCTCTAAAGCAGCTGCCAGGGAAATTTAGGCAACAGAGGCCCTGTAATGTTTCACTAATAAAATGAAATATGAAAGTACACGTTGATAGGTTTTAATTAAGATATATAATGGGGAAAAAATGGGGTTGAAAAAATGAAGATGTTTAAAGACCAAATTCAAAGAAGTTGTTTACTAACATAATTCATACTAATACTTATACTAAGCATGCATAAGGGATTTTCACCAGTATAGTATATGTAAAAGCCCTTCACAGAACAACAGAGAACATCTGACAACATACAAGAAAAGTTTATGACCTGAATAAAAGTGAGCCATTCCAGAACAGCAATAAACCCTGGGATATTGTCATTGTGCCGTTGAAATGCAATCACGGAAATCACTGAATCTACCCTGTCTGTGAGTTCTGGGTTTCAGCTGCCCTGCTGAGTCGTGATGAAATAGTGCGGGAGAAGAACTCTCCGATAGTGGGGCTGTCGGCTAACTGGATTTCCAGTTTCATTCCACACTGGAATAGGTGGCTCTGTTCTCTAAAGAATACATGACAGCTGTCGGTATCCTCAGGACTGGACTCTGGGAGAAATAAATCAGTACCTTGGCTGAACATCATTGCAATAACTGTTATTATAAGAATTAGAACAATACGATTTGCACTTATAAAGCACTTTTCATCTGGAAGGACTTCACATATAGGAGGTGACTCACTTCACCCACCCCTGGAGTACTGAAGTGCCACACTGAACTCGCAGTGCACAGCAGATCAGGGCAGGAGAGAGAAACTAGAGGAGTTTCAGAGAGGCCAGGCTGTTCAGCCCAGAGTTGGTTTTAACCGGGAAAGGAGTCAGGGTCTTGGATTAACATCTCATCTGATCAAGGGATAATCAAATGAAACATACTGTAAATACTTCATACATAAATACTTTCTTTATATCCAAGGACTTAATAAGTAGGCTTGGCATGACAAAAAAATAATCTCTTCAAATAGCGGGGAGATTTTAAAAATACAGTATGTTTACTCCCTTAGAAAGCAAACATTTGCTCTTGTAATTGATTTTACATGCAGTAGTCTGAAGTGCATAAAAGGGGGTGAAATATATTCTAGCATTCTTGTGAGAGGTGAGAAGTTCATGTCAGGAACTGCCCAGCAAGAAAGAAATCATCTTGTCAACCTCGCACACTACTTGTGAACCAGGGTACTTGTATTACAAAGTTAACTGTCTCCCAGGGGACAAAGGTTAGTTCTGAACAGATGAGGTGAAAACTACTGCTGGCAGTCAGGCTCCCAGTCCAGCACCTGGGAGTTCACAGCAGGGCTGGAGAGTGAGCCCAGGTCTCAGTGAGCTCCACAGCCCCACAGACTGCAACAACACCACTGAGGAGCTCACAGCAAATCCTAATTCTAATTCAGTTTCATTAAAAAGTAACAAATCACTATTTTCTTGCCTTTTAAATTAAATTATTTATTTAATTAAATTTATTTTTTATTTGGTTTGAAATAGGATTTTTATGCCTTCCACTTATAAAAGTAATACTCCCTCAAAATAAAAATCACAACAAGGAGGAGAACAAGGCCTTCTATCACACAAACAAGCCCTTACTACTCCAGTCTTCATGCTGAAACACCATGGATCTGTGCCACCAGCCAAGAAACTAAACGGATTTGCGCTAATGAAATCATATCAGCTCGCTGATGTATGCTTCTGAAAGCTACAAGGCTAGCTGGCCCAGGGATGGCTTCCTGTGTGGGAAACTCATACACACCCCCCTGCACCCCCTCTGCCCCCCCTCGCAGCAACCTGTTTAGGACTTCCTGTCAGGGGGGTCTTCCTGAGCACAGCACTCAATTTCCTGTCCACATGTCACAGCAGAAGGAGCTCTGAAATGCTGCTTCCTGCCAGCTCCGCCTGTGTCCACCCTCTCTGACAGCCTGGCTGGGGTGATGTATTTGGTACCTACGAGGGGAAGGAGACCCAGACAACACTTCCTCCCAGGACACAGCTCTGATACAATGGCCAGCCCTGCCTGGACAGGCACAGGGCAGCGGGGAAGGGCAAAGTGCTGATAAGAAGCAGATATTCTCCTCGGGCTCTGTCCAGTAAAGCCTGCCTTATCTGTAGTGGTGCATCCTTGAGCTGGAGAAAACGCACAAGCCTTGTTTTTCACCGCCCTTGGAAACGCAGAGGACCAGAACCCCAGTGGATCAGAGGATGAGACTGGAGCGCGTGCAGATATTTTCTTTTCCCCTGCAGGATTTTCGTTTCTGATAATTAGTTCACAGGCCAATTGGCAGGCAGAGGCAGATAAGAGCATTTCTTCCCCTAACGTCTTCCTGTGAATCTATGTCCTGTTCCCATTTTTATCCTGCTGTCAACAGCCTTTTTCTTCCTCTGTGCTTCTCACCTAGGTCTTCATTTGCGTTTCGTGATAATCATATGCAATGAAGATATGCACGGCCAACATTTAAACAGGCCGCGGATCAATTAGCGGTCTTAAGTTTATCTGATTTTTATCAAAGCAGACAGAGTGGTGGGTCGATGGCGAGAGCTTGTGTCAAGTTGACCTTTTCAGAGACGTCTGCGTTGCTGGTCCCCTGGGCTCCCCCTTGTCCCCTGTCAGACTCTGAATGGCAGAAGTCTGTTCTGCTCAACCACAAAGTATACAAAGATGTCTATATTACACTCTTATAGGTGTGACAGCAACTGTGTGTTGTATTTATAAACTGTCCTTCGGCGGTGACACTTTCCCGATGATGTTTAGCTAATTTATGCAGCCAAATCTCCTTTGTGCAGAAATGAAAGCTAATTGAGTCATTACAAAGTAATTCAGCAAGGAATAACTTGTATAAATTGGCTTACTTTGTAAAGCCCTCTCAAGTGGGTTCTGTGTATCCTAAATAAGGAGGTATTTTCCCTGACACTTAAAGCACACAGTTCACACAGGATTTTAGTAAGGCAGATTAAGAGGATTTTCAAACAGGAAGGCTGCTGGGAAGGGGAGTACGGTCTGAACACAGGAGAAGAAAGTAAAGACTTGATTTCATTACCTGTCACGTTTGAAACAACAGGCTTGCTTGAAACCTCTGGTGTTTTCTTAGGAGGATTAGGCAGGTCTTCCTCTGCGAACAGTGAAAAAGACAACGGTAAGTTCACTGGAAATACTCTATTACCTTTACAGGTAATCTGAAGGAGATACAGCTAAAGAGGTTTTTAAGGTTTCCCACACTGAAAATGCTTTGTCAGGGTCTCGTCTACCTTGGGTGTGGACCCCAGCCCCAGCCCTGTTTATGGAACTATACATAAATAAAACGCATATGAGCGACACAAAGTTATTAATGCTACCTATTTATATTTCAGGCAATAATTAAGATATTTGATTATGAAGCCTGTTATAAAAGTAAAGAAGGAGAGAGAATGTGCTGGACAGAATCATAGCTGAGAGAAGAACAAGGCTGGGGATGAACAAGAAGATCCATCACCAAGTTGCGGGGGCGTGTCCAGTGTGGAGGCGGAGCCCTGGCGGAAGGGCGGCGCCTCGTCTGCGTTGTCCAGCTTTACAGATTTGGCTCAAAGTGATACAAAATAGTCTTCAGAATTTGAACAAATCAAATCATGCAAAGATCCTGTCAGTATTGCAAAAATAAGATGACAAACAAGAGGAGCCTTTCACCAATCCTGCCTGTTGGTAGAAGCTGCGTGATCTGAGGCAGATGTTTCTTGATAGAAGCCAGAGTCTGGGCATCAACATAGTGGCTCGTCAGCTTGTTCCATGCTGTATCTGCTTGCTACCAGCTTAAACTAGCAATTGTTCATACTATATTACACTGAAGGTTTCCTTTTAAAACAGACCCTCACAAACAGAAGAGGTGCTATCACAAATGTCTCTTAGTTTGCAGTGTGTGTTTAAGGATGGATCATGTTGAAATCAATTCCCAATTATGACATTAAATGTTTATAAGTATTGATCTTTCCCGCTCACTCCCTAAGTGAACAGCATTTCATATACATAATGTGCAGAGATTAATAGTCAAGGCTGATGGATGAGTATTGCTCTTCACTACAGTCAGACCTATTAGAATAAAAAGCATCTCACTAATATAAAACCATGCTGTGCACAGTCCCTTCTTGTTCCACTGCATGGGGCACATAACCAGACCACCAAAAAAGCATGCCTGCTGTTTCCAAGACACTTTCTCTTTAAAATAGAAAGTTTTTGTAACATAATTAATTAGGAGATTACCTTCATAAAAAATTTACTTCCAACTATGCATTTTAAAATTATTTAAAATTATCTCTATATCATTATGTTCAGTTTTAAAAAAAAAAATCGTGATTTTTCTTTTTTTTTAAATGTGTAACACATGAAAACAGTTCTCTATCTCTCATAATGTATTTTTGTTTCTATATTTCTAGTGTACAGTTCAACTCATGCACACAGTACAAAATGGTCTATTTAAGATTCTGGAAAATTTTCCCCATTGTTCAGTTCCTGAAGATAGTGGAGCTGTCTTCTGCAGAAAACTGCTCTACAGTCTCCTGAACAGTTAATACTCCATGCAGCTCTTTGGCATAGTACAGTCAAACGATTCAGAAGGAACCAAATACAATTAGATTTCCTGGGTTTAAGTTATTTTTATATCTTCTAAGCCAGCAGCCATGTCACCCTGCAACTTACAATTGGCAGCCCACTGAAGCTCAGTAAGTGTGAGCCTGTTCAGTACCTGGATGGGAGACCTCCTGGGAAAAACTAAGGTTGCTGCTGGAAGAGGTGTTAGTGGGGCCAGCAGGGGGCGCTCACCCTGCAGTCCAGGTGGGTTCTAATGCCCCAGTATAGTGATGGGGACACTATACTGTAAACAAGCGCCATCTTTTGGATGAGACATAAAACCGAGGTCCTGACTCTCTGTGGTCATTAAAAATCCCAGGGTGTTTCTCGAGTAGGGGTGTAACCCTGGTATCCTGGCCAAATTTCCCATGCCTCCTAATAACCCGCCTCTATGAATTGGCTACATTACTTTGTTCTCCGACGGCAGGCGGAGCGACGTGCCTGTTGGAGTATTCTCGGTCGCATTTAATGGCAATGTCAGCTCAAAGATTTGGTTCAAACCACCAAATGGAGACGGGTGTGCCGACAAGCAGACCCTGCTGATGTGGGATTAAAGCTAGGATGAGAGCAGTTATTTTTATATCTTATATAATATATAAGATATAAAATAAACCGAAGTTGCTTTGAAAATTCACTTGCAATACTCTTCTTAACATTATGAAAAGTTACAAATTACGTGAGAAACTATCTGATTTTGAGGTAATTAACTTGGCTGTAAACAACTAGAGAAAAATGTGTATATACTGAAATCGAAAAAAAGAGGAATAGAGTGATTATAATTACTTCCTGTTTGTGTTTATTCCAACAAATGTTCCAAGTACAGTAAATTTTGAACAAATTCAAACAGGCACGAGTGACATTTTGCTGGGATGTGAACAGTAACTGGCTAAACACATGCAGGCCCAGTGCTTGTGTGGGGCACAGACAGCTCTCACATTCTGGCTTCAAGGTCCCGTCCAGTGTAGAGGAGAATATTAAACGCATTGTGCCCTCGGGTTTACTCATGAAGGTCATCGAGTCACACAGAGAAAGCAATACATCCATTATGAAAACATTAAGTCCCTTAATATCTGCACTGTAGACCGTAGCTTTGTAATAACTATATCATTCAGATCTGTGCTCCTTCTTAACAGTAGAAAATGCCTTTACTTGTTTTCACATTTTCTCTTTTCAAAGGGGCTCCAGTAGAGCAATGCAAAGATAAAAGAACAGACACCGCACATCTGGCGGACTAGACTGAACCGTGGATAGCATCTCTGACATTTCGGACTGACCAAGCACTCAGCCAAATTTCAATTACAAGGCTTAGCAAATGTTTAATTTTGCTTTCTAGAATTAATGCACAGAAGTAGCACGTACATCATGTTACTACAGAACTATCGCCGATGATTGATACGCGAAGAAAAAATTCAAACATGGTCATGTTTCTCTCTACGTGCGATTAGTCCGAGGGTCATTAGTCAGGCATTCATACTGTCCTCATCAAGACCAATTCAGATGGTGTAGCAAAGCAGGGGTTGGAAACACGAGTGAGTTCCCCAGGGGCGGGGTCATCCCATTGAGGAGAGCCACATTCTCCGGATTCTCCCGGGGAACTCACTGAACTGGCGGCACCTGGACACTCCAGCTCCCTATAAAAGCAGTTCCTGGAGGCAGTCTGAGGGTGTCCTTTCATGGACCCTCACGGTTTAGTAAGACAGTAAGTATTTAAAAAGAGAATTCGGAGATAAAAGTTTTCGTTAAGCACTAAAAATCAGAGAAGACGTATAAGTGGGATAAATCTGGTAGCAGCCTCGGTCCTTTTCCGGGTCGGGACGTCGGTAAGTAAGAAAATGGTTAATGAGCGCACCTGGCCAACCGGAATCGACCGAGAGGTTATTGCCTCTGTTTTCTGGCAAAGACACGATTACGGTTCATGTGGAGACCCCTTGCCACGTTATCTAAAAGGGGGATCTTTCACAGAAGCTATTGCATGAACAGAGCTACACCTGGATATATGAATGTCTCAACTATGCAGCAAAAACCCATCGACCTGCCCAGATGGATATGAAGTTCACAAAGGGATTTCTACATCTGCATTTCCAATGGAAACTCTGCAAGGGCTCTGCAAAACAGCAGCTTGAATTTCTCCTGTCCACTGCAGAGGCACGGAATATGCTGAGTACAGATTTTAATTTATAAGTCACACTATACCGTAGACTCATTTTTATGATGCACAAAGTATTTCAAGCAAACAAAGTAAACCGTAATAGCATCACCTAAAAAAACAGGAACCACAAATCTTATCATGTTCATAATAACATCCTCGAAAATATGATCAGACTCTGACTAACACAGACAGACTCCTTGCAATACCAGAGTCTGCCCTGAGCTTCCGCCTTCCCCACTGCGGTCCCATGGATATTCAGAGCAAGAGGATTAATGCAGCCCTGGCCACCCACAAGCATGCAGTACCTAACATACTGTACATGATCTGAATAGCCCTCTAAAGGCTCCCTCTTCTCAGTGACCCCCAAAATTTGAGGGGTGGGGAGGGGGACAAGACACGTCTCTTTCCTTTGTCCAGAAGCCTCAAAAGGCCGCATGGAACTGAAAGAACTAATATTCTTTCAGGGACATTGTTATTTCCAAAAACCAAGAGCTGAAAAGTAAGTCTGTTCAGTATCAGAACAGATCTAAGAGGAAAGAGTTTGATCAGACGTCTCCATGAGGGGTGATGTACTGTACTTGTTACTAGAGAAAGTGAATCACAACTGATTCCTTAGTTTGTGTTCAGTATTTTAAATGTAGAGTTTGTTCAGTGGGCGAGTTAATGGGGAGACAGCCCTACTGTAGCGATTACTACATGTGACAGGACGGACGTGAATACATCAGTCTGAAACCAGACTCAGATACCCGGGCTGATATACCCCCCCTACCCAAGCAGGCATCTGGACTTTGTTAAAGAAAACAATAACTAATCCATTTGCACCTCAATCTACTTGATCCCTACTTGTCCAGATAGGATTAAAAGGTGTGAAAGGTCACTCCTTCACTCCCCTCTGTGACTCACAGGAGCAGGAGTATTAATGATCTACTGGTGCCCTTCCTGTCTGAGCCACGGGAGTGTCATCGATCGGACGACGGAGGTGCTGTGTGGTGCAGATCTGGCCCTGAGGTGAGAAGACGCAGCCCCACAGTGAGCCTGGAGCCAGAACCGGGACAGCGGAGGGGAGATGATGGACGGGAGCCTGTGATTCGGTGGAGCGACAGCAGGGTGGAGGAGCGCTCAGACTCCGGGCCTAGAGCTCGACGAGGCAGAGCTGCATTTCACTCAGACTGTGCTGCAGGACACTGCCCAGCTGTACGCATGTGTACAAATGCAAGTCGCTCGGGATAAAAGCATCAGTCAAGTAACTGAATATCAGTCCGTGACCAATATGCTGGATCTCAATAACAGGTGCCATGTGGATCACGTTCTGTTTTATTCAGTCCTTGCTAAATTCACAAACGCCGTGGGGGGTAAAACAGTTT